ATTGCCATTTGGATGGTTTGCAATGATTGGAGAGAGATCACAAATGCAAGTAAAATGGATAGTGTCTCTACAGCGTGGCTCAAGGAACTCTGAGGAGCTCATCTTCCCCTTTATCGTCCTACACACATTATCTGTTCTCTCCCCCACTGATTTGTGAAGCTGCCTTGCATTTCTACTATTAAGGCCACTTGATTGGGGGAGGAGGGATTCTAAGTCTTTATTTCCCCATTTGATGTCTAATAGGCATCTCCACCTTAGCATGTGCAAACTCATATTCCTGCAGAACCATCATCTTCCAAATCTGCTGCCCTTACCTTGACCCTGCTCAGTAAATGGCAATTCCATCCTTTCTGTTGCTCTGGAGTCATTTTTAACTTCTCTTTCTCCCCCTAAAACATCTTTAAATCCTGTCCTCAAAATATATAGAGAATCTGACAACCCTGACAACCTCTCATTATTTCTACGCTGTCACTGTGGGGAAAACCATCACCATCCCAGCCTGGGTGATTACAATACCCTCTACTTCTTGCCTTACTTCTTCTCTTGGTCCCCTACAATCTATTCTTGCTTCTCCCCTTGCTCCCCCAAATTCTACTCACCATATGAGAGCCCAAATGGTTCTTCTTTAAAATGTAAGCATGCATCAGCAACAAACAGTCAAAAAGCATATTTTAAAGGACAATTAAAATAATATAAAAAATGTAAACCTCTTAGGAATAAATCTAAGCAAGACATACACTACTTTTATGCAGAAGACTATATTATTTTATTTAAATGCTTTTAAAAAAGACCTTAATCAATGGAAAGACAAACCATGTTCATGAATTGGAATAGACATTTCATAAAGGTATCAGTTCTCCCTAAATTACAATTACAGTCAAATCTAAACACAGTTTTTGGTTGAGCCTGACAAGCTGATCCTAAAGTATATATGAAGGAGCAAAGTACCAAGAATAGTCAAGACAGACTGAAGGAGAAGGAAAATGGGGTTACTTTCATTCCAGATGTTAAAGCTTATAAACCTATAGTTAAAAATATGGTATAGGATTGGCAAAGGGATAGACAAGTTGACGGAATAGAGAGCCCAAAAACAGACCCACATAGACAGGAAAACGTAATTTACAGCAGAGCTATCATTGTAGATTAGTGGCTAAAACTGGCCTTGTAAATAAATGGAGGTAAGACTCTTGGTTATCCATGTGAGAAAAATAAAATGTTGCCCCTACCTCACACCATACAGAAATATCCCTTCCAGGTGGACTTTAAACTTAAATGTGAAAGGCAAAATTATAACTTTTTTTGAAAATAATATAAGAATAATTTTATTACCTTATAGTGGAGAAGGATCTCTTACACAAGACATAAAAAAGTATACATCACAAAGGAGTAGATGGAGAAATTAAACTTAAAAAATTAATAAGTTCTATCTTAATAGAAATCACAAAGAAAGTAAGGAGACAAGGCATAAACAAGAGAAAGATATTTGCAACATATATAAATGACAATACGTTAATAACTAGGTTATGCCTTAAACTACACCAAATCAATACGATAAGAGTCAGATAACCCAATAAAGTAATGGGTAAAATATTTGAACAGGAAAAGGAATCTAGAATGGCCAATAAACATAGAAAAAGATGCCAAACTTTAGTAATTCAGGAAATGCAATAAAAACATTGTTAGTTCACTTTTCATTTCCACTGGATTGGCAAAAATAAAAAATCTGACAACTTCAAATGTAGATGAGAATGTGGAGCAACAGAAAGTTTTGTGCATTGCTGATAGGTGGGTAAAATGGTACAATCACTTTGGAAAAAATTTGATATCATCTAGTAGAAGTCCCTAGGTGGTACAAATGGTTAATAAGCTTAGCTGATAATTGAAAAGTTATAGGATCGAGTCCACCTAGAGGCACCTCGGAAGAAAGCCCTGGCAATCTACTTCCGAAGAATCTGCCATTGAAAACCCTATGGAGCACAGTTCTACTCTGACACACATGGGGTCACCAGCAGTTGGAATCAACTAGACAGCACCTTTTTTTTGTTGTTGTTTGTTTGTTTGTTTTTTTATCATCCAGTAAGATTGAAGGTTGTGCGTCAGGGTTGTATCCTTTCACCATGCCTATTCAGTCTGTATGCTGAGCAAATAATCCAAGAAGCTGGACTATATAAAGAAAAATGGGGCATCAGGACTGGAGGAAGACTCATGAACAACCTGAGATATGCAGATGACACAACCTTACTTGAAAGTGAAGAGGACTTGAAGCACTTACTGATGAAGATCAAAGACCACAGTCTTCAGTTGGATTACACCTCAACATAAAGAGAACAAAAATCCTCACAAATGGATCAATAAACAACATCATGATAAACAGGAAAAAGATTGAAGTTGTCAAGGATTCCGTTTTACTTGCATCCACCATCAACACCCCTGGAAGCAGCAGTCAAGAAATCAAAAGACGCACCGCATTGGGCAAAGCTGCTGCAAAAGACCTCTTTAAATTGTTGAAAAGCAAAGATGTCACCTTAAAGACTAAGGTGCACCTGACCCAAGCCATGGTGTTTTCAATCACCTCCTATACACGTGAAAACTGGATGATGAATAAAGAAGATGGAAGAAGAACTGACACCTTTGAATTGTGGTGTTGGAGAAGAATATTGAATATACCACGGACTGCCAAAAGAACAAACAAATCTGTCTTGGAAGAAGTACAACCAGAATGCTCCTTAGAAGAAGGATGGCGTGACTACGTCTCACATGCTTTTGACATGTTGTCAGGAAGGATCAGTCCCTGGAGAAGGTCATCATGCTTGGTAAAGTACAGGGTCAGTGAAAAAGAGGAAGACCCTCAGTTAGACGGATTGACACAGTGGCTGCTACAATGGGCTCAAGCATAACAAAGATTGTGAGCATGGTGCAGGACCGGGCAGTGTTTCGTTCTGTTGTACATAGGGTCTGACTCGATGGCACCTAACAACAACAATAATAATAACAATAATAATATCCTATGACCTAGGAGTTTCACTCCTAGGGCATAGAACCTGGAGAAATTATTGCACGCATGTCCCGGCGTATACATACAAGAATAGCCATAGTAGTGCTATCTACAACAGAAAAAACAAACAAACCTGGTAATATCCTAAGTGTTCATCAGCAGCATCTTGGAGAAATATACTGAGGTATATTCATATAACAGAATACTCTACAGCGGTTAAAACAAATGAATTAGAGGCACATGCAACAATATAAAGAAATTTCAGAAACATTATTTTGAACAAATTAAGCAAGTCCCAAAAGAATATTTAATTCCATATTTACAAAGCTCAAAAGTATAAAAAAACTAAATAAGCCCATTGCCATTGAGTCCATTCTGAAATAGCATATATTTATTAACTTGAGTATATGTGTGCAAAACTATAAAGAGGAGCCAGAGGAGGCGCCATAAACCCAACATTCAGACCTGCAGTCGCCTCTGAGGAGGAGGGAGAAGGAAGGGCACACAGAGGACTTCAGACGATAAAAACGTTAAATTAACCGAAAAAAAATTCAAAAAAAAACTAAGGAGTCAGTACACAGGGTTTATGTTATTTTTATTTCTTGTACCTTATACACATTTTCTAAATTGTTATTTTCTATATCCTCAACACTTAATAAAATCTTTTTTTTTTAAATTAAGCCTGCTCATGTAATTCCTCTGTTCAAACCCCTCCAGAAGCTTCCCAAGTCCTTGGGCGTACAAGCCCAGGTCCTTACACTGGGCAGGAAAGCCCCCCCTGACCTGACCCCCCCACACCTGTCGGCCTCCTCACCCAACACGCCCCTCACTCTCCTCTTCCATGCTGGCCCCCACCACGCCGCCTCCTCCTCCAGACCGTGCTCTCTTGGTCTCTCTGCCCAGAACACCTCTCCAGAAACCACATGGGTCAGCCCCCTCCCTTCCTTCAGGTCTCCACCTTAACCATCACCACCCAGGGACTCACACTAGGTGATACCCTCCACCCCGTGCCCCTCTGGCCGTGCGTGCACACACACACACACGGGCACACATGAACACGCGCGCACACACACTCCCCGTCCCCTTCACTCTAATTCACTTCAGATCACCACCGACAGATGGTATCCATCCACTAAAGTCCGTCTCCGATCGCTAAGACGTAAGGGCCCCCGACGCCTTGAACGGCTCCTGGCAGGGAGCAGTCTCTCAAAAAATACTTTCTGAATAATGCATAACTAACCAGAAAATTATATCAGAATCAAAGTGTTATATGGAAAGGGTGATACATGAAACCCTGAGCTTTAGTTATCAGATTAGGCTCCCCATTGCTTAGGAGAGGTAGCAAAGGGCTTGGTTCTACGTTCTGTAAGTTTTGATTTCAGGAGATGAGAGGGTTCCAGATGAGTCAGGTGATCCTGCTTATTCATAAAATGTTACCTATTTAAAGGGTTGATGTGGTAGCTTAGGTGAGGAAGGTGAAGTCCTAAGAGGCACCAGCTTACCTGGATTCCTGGTGAGAGACAAGACAGGGTCTCTTGGTGCCCAGTCTGAGGTGGGCCTACCCAGGGGCCTGGCTCCTGGGGGCTGATAGGGGAAGAGGCCCAGGTCAGCCCCCTCTGCCCATCCCCTTCACAACTCTGCACAGGTCCAAGTCCAGCGTTTCTCAGGTGTGGCCAGGTCACCTTCCTCAGCAGGAACTGTGAGAAAGGGCGTGACCCGAGGACAAGGAGTGGGGCTAGAGCCCAGCCTAGCTCAGCAAGGCTCAGCGGTGACAGACTGCAGCATCGGAGCTGCCCTGACCACATGTGCCGCCCGCACCGCATACACTTCCTGTTCATCGGCTCCCCTTCTCTCCACATCCACACACCCAGACCAGCACCAGGGGTCACATGGGGCTCCCATACTTGGCCTGCCTAGCAGGCAGCCAGCAGGCCCCACTCTGACAGACAGGGCCCCATGCCTGCCTCTGGGCTGGCCCGGCTTGGCCGAGAGCAAGGTGGCCTACCTGGAGTGGTGGGGGTCAGGGCCTGTAGACATCAGATGGCACCTGTGCCCCATGCCTGGCTGTAGACCCCCAGGCTTGGGGGAAGAGGATGCGGCCCAGCATCGTCGGTCTCCAACAGCATTTCACTATGAATCACTCGAGCTGCTCATTTCCTGGAGAAAGCAGAAGTGGAGAGTCAACAGATGCTTGATCCTGCCTACTCCCTAGCGGCTGCAAAGAGGCTGGCCCGCTGGTGTGGTGATTCAGGCCCAGCAGAAAGACTTGCTGGTCAAGGAGCACGGGGTGGGGTCAAGTCAGAAAGGAAAGATACAGACCCACAGCATAGATTTGATTCTGCGTCTGGACTCACTAGCTGCCGGACCATCAGCGCTCATGCATCCTCTCTGAGCCTCAGGCAAAATGAGGCTAATGCTGGTTCTCAGGTGAATCTAATTAAAGGTGTGTCTAACATGCATCCCTGGTCGTGTATGGGCTCCTCAGCCGGCCCATGGTCCCCACCAGCCCATGGAGAGCTTCCCACTTGAATTCCCTGCTCCTCCATTCTCAGATTTAACTGACACCACAGATCCAGGGAGGACTCCAGGATCAGATGACAAACTGTGGGGAATACACTGAAGCAGTGATGAAAGAAAACTTGAAATGATCGGATGAAAGTCTCTGAAACCATAGTATTAAATCCCCATGCCTTTGGGTATATTAGGACGAACCATTCCATATCACCATCTGTCCACCCGTAGCACATATAGCATGTCCATTCAAAGAGAAGATCTCCCTGGGCTCTGAAAAGAGGGTTGCCATATGAACAAGAGCAGGCTTTTTCTTTTCTTTTTTTTATTGTGGTAAATACACGTGTAACAAATCATCTGTCTCACCAGCATTCTTCGCGCATACAATCCAAAGACCTTAGTTTACCATGTTGGCCAGCCGTTACCACTACCCATTCCCAGATCTTCCCATAACCCTTCCCATTCCCAGATCTTCCCATAACCCTTCCCATTCCCAGATCTCCCCATAACCCTTCCCATTCCCAGATCTCCCCATAACCCTTCCCATTCCCAGA